TCTTTTCCACACTCGCCATAATTCACCACCAGATGTCAGGGTAGAGCTCATCCTGACTCTGCTTACAGAAGTATGAACTGGATGAATGAACTATAAGGTGGATAGAAAGCTGGCTAGATCATCGGGCTCAACGGGTAGTGATCAATGGCTCCATGTCTAGTTGGCAGCCAGTTTCAAGCGGAGTGCCCCAAGGGTCGGTCTTGGGGCCGGTTTTGTTCAATATCTTCATTAATGATCTGGAGGATGGCGTGGACTGCACCCTCAGCAAGTTTGCAGATGACACTAAACTGGGAGGCGTGGTAGATATGCTGGAGGGTAGGGATAGGATACAGAGACAAATTAGAGGATTGGGCCAAAAGAAAACTGATGAGCTTCAACAAGGACAAGTGCAGAATCCTGCACTTAGGACGGAAGAATCCCATGCACTGCTACAGACTAGGGAGCGAATGGCTAGGCAGCAGTTCTGCAGAGAAGGACCTAGGGGTTACAGTGGACGAGAAGCTGGATATGAGTCATCTGTGTGCCCTTGTTGCCAAGAAGGCTAACAGCATTTGGGGCTGTATAAGTAGGAGCATTGCCAGCAAATCGAGGGACGTGATCATTCCCTTCTATTCAGCATTGGTGGGGCCTCATCTGGAGTACTGTGTCCAGTTTTGGGCCCCACACTACAAGAAGGATGTGGAAAAATTGGAAAGAGTCCAGCAGAGGGCAAAAAAAAAGATTAGGGGGCTGGAGCTTATGAGGAGAGGCTGAGGGAACTTGGATTATTTAGTCTGCAGAAGAGAAGAATGAGGGGGGATTTGATAGCTGCTTTCAACTACCTGAAAGGGGGTTCCAAAGAGGATGGATCTACACTGTTCTCAGTGGTAGCAGATGACAGAACAAGGAGTAATGGTCTCCAGTTGCAGTGGGGGAGGTTTAAGTTGGATATTAGGAAAAACTTTTTCACTAGGAGGGTGGTGAAGCACTGGAATGGGTTACCTAGGGAGGTGGTGGAATCTCCTTCCTTAGAGATTTTTAAGGTCAGGCTTGACAAAGCCCTGGCTGGGATGATTTAGTTGGGAATTGGTCCTGCTTTGAGCAGGGAGTTGGACTAGATGACCTCCTGAGGTCCCTTCCAACCCTGATATTCTATGATTCTATGAACCTGTGGCTCCAGAGCCACATTAATGATGTGACTCTTCAGAAGTTAATATGTGGCTCCTTGTACAGGCACCGACTCCGGGGCTGGAGCTACAGGTGCCAACTTTTCAATGTGCCAGGGGGTGCTCACTGCTCAACCCCTGGCTCTGCCGCAGGGCCCTGCCCCCACTCCACCCCTTCCTGCCCTCTCCCCTGAGTCTGCCATGCCCTCGCTCCTCCCCCTCTCCCCCAGAGCCTCCTGCATGCCACAAAACAGCTGATCGGGGGAGGCACTGATCAGCAGGGCTGCTGGTGGGTAGGAGGCGTTGGGAGTGGGGCGGGAGGAGCTCATGGGGGGCTGCTGACGTATTACTGTGGCTCTTTGGCAATGTACATTGGTAAATTCTGGCTCCTTCTCAGGCTCATGTAGACAGTGCTAGATTGACAGAAGAATTCTCCCATGGACATAGCTACTGCCTTGTGGGAGGTGGAGTACCTACCTCGACAGGAGAAGCCTTCCTGTTGGCGTAGGTAGCATCTTTACTGAAGATGCAGCTGTGCTGCTGCAGCATTGTAAGTGTGAACCTGCCCTAAAATTTGGTTCAGAGACTTTTAAAAATGTCTCAGTCCTGGTCTACACTACGAGTTTAGGTCAAATTTAGCAGCGTTAGGTCGATTTAACCCTGCACCCGTCCACACGACGAAGCCATTTTTGTCGACTTAAAGGGCTCTTAAAATCGATTTCTGTACTCCTCTCCAACGAGGGGATTAGTGCTGAAATCGACATTTCCGGGTCGAATTTGGGGTAGTGTGGATGCAATTCGACGGTATTGGCCTCCAGGAACTATCCCAGAGTGCTCCATTGTGACTGCTCTGGACAGCACTTTGAACTCAGATGCACTAGCCAGGTACACAGGAAAAGCCCCGGGAACTTTTTAATTTCATTTCCTGTTTGGCCAGCGTGGCAAACTCAGCAGCACTCAGCAGCACAGGACCCATGCAGTCCCCCCCAGAATGTTTCTACATTTGCTTAACGGCAAAAGTATCATGCCTCGCTAGCGATCCTGCCCGAGCCAGGTCGCTGTGTCACATGCACTCCGTGCTGTGTCAGCCTTGGGCGGGGGCATGACCGCTTTGTGAGCAGGAAGGCCATAGATATAGACATTGCATTAGGTAGCTTCTGTAGCTAGAGAAAACATTCCTGTGCATTCGGCAAAATCTGTGGCAAAAAAAAGAAAGGCCCCGTAGTATAGTGGTTATCACGTTCACACAAAAGCCCTGTAGTGTAGAGGTTATCACGTTCACCTAACACACGACACGTCCCTGGTTTGAAACAGGTCACTGTTCCTTTTTTGACTCCCCTCCTGCATTTTTAGTCTTAGAACAGACCGCGCTGTGAAATTTTACTTTGAATTATATCAATTATGAGTTAAATAATATGGAAGCTCTCTGTAAGTTATAGTCCCGGGTTCCTTACCCTTTCAGCTGCTCTGATAAATTAACATTTTTGTTAGGGGTGGGGGAAAATTTTCATGAAGCCTTTTATAGGGACTAATAATCTTAACATGGCCCATAGAGTGCAATCCTTTGTTCTGGATTTGCCATTCCACAAGTTGAACTGCTCCTTACTACTGTCCAGGCTTCATGAGCCATGGGAGCAAGGGGCAGGCTGGGGTAGGTGCGACCGCGCGGTGCTGCTGGCTGGCCTCCAGCTCACATGATATTCCAGTCAGGACTGAATCTCCATGAGACGAAACTTAAAGAAGAGAATGACCTGCAGTCACTCCCATTCGGTGCTCTAAGAGGAGGATACCCATGTCTGTCCAGGCACCCCTGATCGACCTTACTGAGGTCTGCCAGCTGAGCGGGGCTGAGCGGGACCTCGGCTGGCAGGAGCCGGCAGACGGAGCCCCAAACCAGCAGCGGGCTGAGCCGCTTACGCCGCTGCTGGTCTGCGGCTCCGTCCGCCGGCCCTGCTCAGCCCACTGCCTGCCTGGGGTTCCGATCATCCAGGCAGGCAGTGGGTTGAGCAGGTCAGGTGGACGGGACCCCAGAAAAAAGGCGCAAAACGATTGTCTACCGTTGCTTTCACAGGGGGGGGGTGAGGGGGTTGACGACATGTACCCAGAACCACCCGCGACAAAGTTTTTGCCCCATCAGGTATTGGGAGCTCAACCCAGAATTCCAATGGGCGCCGGAGACTTGGGGAACTGTGGGATAGCTACCCACAGTGCAACGCTCCGAAAGTTGATGCTAGCCTTGGTGCTGTGGACGCACTCCGCCGACTTAATGGTCTTAATGGTCTTAAGTGGGGACACACACAATCGACTGTATCAAATCGTTTTCTAAAAAATCGACATATTAAATCGACCTAATTTCGTAGTGTAGACATACCCTCAGTGGGTTTAGTCCTGGTGGGAGGGGCTGGATCTGCACTGCAATAAAGTGACCAAGTGTTTTTGCAGCCTGGCAGAATCTAGAATCTGGCTTCAGGTAAAGAGCCTGGGGGAAACTGGGGTGTAAAATGGACTAAAACGTTTTCTGATACCTGCCCAATGGTCCTTCTTGCCTTGACAGGCTGCAGAATGACATCCACATCTTGCTCCAGATCCTGCCATCCTCCCAGGGCACAGGGAAGAGACATGGCTGCTGCAGTGGTGCTGGCTCAGGTAAGTGATTGGCAGGGAGCCGGTGGGGAGGGTGGGGTTGGTCTGGACGTGGGGGAGGGACAGGAAATACAGGAGGAAAGTTGAATGGGAAATGAAAAACCTCTGTTGTGTCCTTTGTTCTTTACAGAACAAACACAATATGGAGAAGCCACATGGACACAGTTAGGTCCCAAATAACCGTGTTTAGTAACTACACAGACATGCAAGACCCAGCCTCGTATTTACACTACTGCTTAGATTAGTCCTTGGCAGCTTCTAAACCATAGAACATAGTGAGCCACCAGACAGCTCACAAAATGCTTAAAAGGATGTAATGGGGTTTTATGGATTGCTTGGTCCTTAAGGGCAGCTAATCATCAACAGGAGCCCTTACCATGTCCCTCTGCTTCGGCCACAGTGGGTTTCAACTGCCTGGGTTCTCAGCTACTAGCTGGTAGTGCCCCCACCTGACTGTTCAAGGGAGCCAGGAACCCTACCCTACCTCCCTATGCAGCTTCAGTTATGCCTGACCCAGTCCTTACCCCCAGGACTAGCCTGATGCCTCCGTACATACCTTCCATAATGGATGAACCAACAATCAATGTACACGTTATTTAGAAGGGGAAATATACAGGAAGCCTATAAAGGGAAGGGAAAGATGGACTTGAAGTAGATACATCAGTAACACCATACAACTCGCAAGTAACACAACCCCTAGAGTGGATTGCCTTGGATTGACGAGTCCAGTTTATTCCACACTAGTGGGCTCCATAAGGTGGAGAGAGAGGGGTGCTCCGTGGGGGGGGGAGAGGA